ACAAAATGATAAATGACTGTATAAAGTGTTGAAGTTTCGTAAATAATTAAATATATAAAGTTAAAAATTTGGTGAGGTTATGTTGACATCTGATTCGAGAATATATACACTGTAGTCTCACGCCTACACGTTTACATACATTTTTTTTATAGGATAAGGGTGACAAACGAGCACACAACCCACCTGATGGTAAGTGGTTGCTGCGGCCCATAGACATCTACATCTATCCTCTATTAGAAATCAAAATGTAGATACGTTGTCACCCGTGAAGACTAAGATGGAATGCCTTATTTCCAGTAAAAAGGGCCTCCGGCCACCTGCACTCACCAAGCGAAACGCAGAGGTAAACTACTTCACGCTGGTTTTCTGTGAGGTCGTGGTACCACCCCGGTTCGAGCCGGCCCATCCGTGCGATAGCAAAAGCTGCCGCGTGGCTCTACCACTGTTGAGTATACATATACATATACATATGTTGAACGTGTACTTGGCGTGAGACACTACAGTGTCTCCGGATATGATACATAAGTACTTGACAAGGTAAATAATAATATTAGATATAATATTATTATTAATATATAATATTATTATTTTTATGATTTTCGCTAAAAGTAAGTGGGATTTATATAAATGCATATTCGTCTTGGACTTTATGGACTGATCTGTGTACTTCGGTGACTGCCACTGTAACTCCTCCACGAGTACTACTAGGTTTTTATACGTTTTAGAGCCATGCTTCAGCTATATTAGTAGTATAGTTGTATCACGAATGGGTCGGCTCGACCATGGAAGGACCACGCTCTCACAGAATACCAGCGTAAAATAGCAGTTTAACACTGCTGTGTTTCGTATGAAGAGTGTAGAGAACCGGAGACCCTTTTTACTGGGAAAGAGGCATTCCATCTTAGTCCTCAGGGTTGACAACGCATCTGCATTTTCATTCGCAGGCGAAGATGCATGTAGATGTTTATGGGCCACAGTAACCACTTATCATCAGGTGGACTGTGTGCTCGTTTGTCACCCTATCCTATAAAAAAAAGGTTTACCTAGTTTGTGCTCGTTTTGTAAGTTATGATGAGACCTTATCGCCAGAATTGACGGAGAGAACTGATGGTGTACTTCAGTGACTGCTACTGGAACTCCTCGCCGAGTAGTACTAGGTGTGCCGAGTTTGGGCTCGATTTATTAGTAATGACGAGACCTTAACTATGGGCTTGATGGAGAGACCTGATGGTGTACTTTAGTGACTGCTACTGAAACTCCTGGGCAAGTAGAACTAAGTGTGCCAAGTTTGGGTTCATTCAATTAGTTATGATGAGATCTTGACTCCGGACTTGATGGATAGACCTGATGGTGTACTTGTGTGACTGATACTGGAACTCCTCGCCGAGTAGTACTAGGTGTGCCGAGTTTGGGCTCGATTTATCAGTTATGATGAGACCTTACCTACGGGCTAGATGGAGAGACCTGATGGGGTACTTCAGTGACTGCTACTGAAACTCTTGGACAAGTAGAACTAAGTGTGCCAAGTTGGGGTTCGTTTAATCAGTTATGATGAGACCTTGCCTTCGGACTTGATGGATAGACCTGATGGTGTACTTGTGTGACTGATACTGGAACTCCTCGTCGAGTAGTACTACGTGTACCAAGTTTGGGCTCGTTCAACTAGTTACGATGAGACCTTACATCCGGACTGGGTAATTCTAGTACTACTCATCGAGGAGTTCCAGTAGCAGTCACCGAAGTACACCATCAGGTCTCTCCATCAACTCCGGAGGTACGGTTTCATCATAACTAACAAAACGAGCCCAAACTCGGCACACCCAGTTATACACGACCATCAGTTCCAGCAGTAGTCATCGAAGTACACCATCAAGTCACTCCATCAAGTCCGGAGGTAAGGTCTCATCATAACTAACAAAACGAGCCTAAACTCGGCACACCTTATTCTTCTCGTCCAGGAGTTCCAGCAGCACTCACCGATGTACAATTTTCAGGTCATACATTTTTGTAGGTGAAATAAAAAAAACAATCTTTCAAAGTATCAAAATGTCGTACTTGATTACGATTCCCGCAGCTAACCGTGCGTACACTTGTGTGTGTGACCCGCGTCAATGTAATTGTTCGTTTCTATACCTATCAATTTTGCAAACGCGTCCTTAATAATTAATTGTTTTTAATCTTAATTAAAAACGACTATATCAAATATAAAAGTATGATAGTTAAACATACCGGTAATATTAAATTATTATTTATTCCAATCAAAAACTGTTTAGAAAACGGTTTTTAATTTATATGTAATGATGATTTCTTATATTTACGCGAAGACTACACATTAAATAAAACTAAGTTTCACGGATTTTATCGCGTTTAATTTAACATTTTAATTCCCGACGTTTCGGGTGCTTTACAGCACCTATGGTCACCCCGTCACGTAAAAAGAACGCTGGCCTTGAACCTGGGCACAGCGATTTATAGATCAAATTGGTGGTACGAAGGGGCGCGACGGGGGAACGCTGGTCAGTATTAGTACTGTGCGCGCGTGCTATTCGGTCATGCTTCCCGCGCTTGGTTCATCATCATCATCATTACAGCCCTTCACAAGTCCACTGCTGAACATAGGCCTCCCCCAAAGAATGCCACAAAGCACGGTCCTGAGCCACCTGCATCCATCGACTTCCTGCATATCTTACCAGGTCGTCAATCCATCTAGTGGGGGGACGCCCTACACTTCGCCTGCCGGTACGAGGCTGCCACTCGAGAACCTTTCTTCCCCATCGGTTGTCGGTTCTTCGAGCTATATGGCCGGCCCATTGCCACTTCAGCTTACTAATCCGTTGGGCTATGTCGATCACTCTGGTTCTACTGCGGTTATCCTCATTTCTGAGTTTATCACGCAGAGAATCTCCGAGCATAGCCCTCTCCATAGCTCGCTGAGCGACCTTGAACTTCCTCATCCGGCCAGCACTGAAGGACCACGTCTCAGTTCCGTATGTCATCACAGGCAACACGCACTGGGTGTACAGTCTCGTTTTCAAGTTTTGAGGTATACCTGACGAGAAGATGTGCCGTAATTTCCTGAACGCTGCCCAATCGAGTTGATTCCGTCGATTGACTTCTCGGTCGAAGTTGGACTTACCTAGTCGGACTATTTGTCCCAGGTAAACATACTCGTCAACAACTTCGAGCTTAGTGTTCCCAACAACTACCGGCATAGGTGTGACATGGACATTAAACATGATCTTTGTTTTGTCCATGTTCATCTTAAGACCTATCCGTTGGGAAACACTATAGAGGTCATTGAGCATAGTGCTAAGGTCCTCCAGCGATTCTGCTATAAGGACTATACCGTCGGCAAATCGAAGGTGAGTGATGTACTCGCCATTGATGTTGATACCGTATCCTTTCCAGTCCAGAAGCTTGAAAACATCTTCCAATGCAGCGGTAAAGAGTTTCGGGGATATGACGTCACCCTGTCTTACACCTCTCTGCAATTGGATAGGTTTCGTACTCTGGTTCTGTACTCGGATAGCCATCGTAGCCCTACTGTACAAGCACTTCAACACTTCGATATACCGCCAGTCAACTTGGCACCGCTGAAGGGACTGCAGCACCGCCCAAATTTCGACGGAATCAAAGGCTTTCTCATAGTTCACATACGCCAGACATAGTGGCAAATTGTACTCCTCGGACTTCTGTACAATTTGCCGAAGGGTATGTATGTGGTCTATGGTGCTAAAGCCTTTTCGGAAACCGGCTTGTTCGGGAGGCTGGAAGTCGTCAAGTCTGCGCGCGAGACGATTCGTAATGACTCTCGAAAACAGCACGTAGACGCGGCTCAGAAGGGAAATCGGTCTGTAGTTCTTCAAGAGAGCGTTGTCGCCTTTCTTGAAGAACAAGACCACCGCACTTCTGCTCCACGCATCCGGTGTAATGCCACCATGGAGGACGGAATTAAAGAGCTTCTGAAGGACTTCAAGTACCGGTTTTCCACCCGCTTTCAGAAGCTCCGCTGTAATTCCATCCTCGCCTGGGGCCTTGCCGTTTTTAAGGTGCTGGAGAGCCATTCTAATCTCGCTCAGACTGACGTCCGGGACATCATCGGAATAATGTCGGATAAGACTCGCTCTTGGATCGTTACTCACACTTGCGTGCGGCTCCAACGATGACGTGTACAGCTGCCCATAGAACCTCTCAATCTCACTCAAAATCTCAGGAGCCCCGTAAACGATGCTGCCACATTCGGTCTTCAGCTTTGACAGTTGGCTCTTTCTGGCAGACAGATCCCTGGCAAAGACTTTGGAGCCTTGGTTCCGCTCGATCGCTTCTTCAATACAAGCTGTATTGAAGTTGCGTAAGTCCCGCCGCATGCATTTAGAGATCTGTCTGTTCAGTAGCCTGTATGCTGTCAAATCTGTTGAAGAATGTAGCTTCATCTCCCGTCTAACAGCCATGAGATTAAGAGTGTGATCGGAGAGTTTTTGTGTTCTTCTGCGCCGGGTTTTGCAGAACTCAGCTCCGACCGCATGGACAGTTTCCACGAGCTTGTCATTCAAATCGTCCACTTCATTGCAGTCTTCTAGGCACTGAAAACGGTTTTGTAACTCGAGCTGAAAGGTTTCGGGACCTTGAATTAGAGCACGAGGGGGGCGGAGCGTTGACTTCATTAGACGAGACATAAAGTCTATATATATATATATATATATATATATATATATATATATATATATAATTCACGCAACATGGACGCATACCGTCGGGGCTGGTTCGATGTGGTGCAGGACAAAACCACTGGGAAAAACTTTGGGGTGACTTCTGCCTAGTAGTGGGACAGCATGGGCTGGACAAAAAGAAGCACTGAAATTCTAAATACTCAAAATAAAAAAAGACAAGGCTGTATGGTATAGTTCCTTTGCCTGCTCGGTCGAGCGTATAATAAAAACAACAACAATTATTTTGTTTTGGGTTTGGATTATAATATTTGGCATAATAACTTTCAGTCCAGTATATAAAAAGTACTCTGTGATAATAATTGCCTGCTGCCTTACTGCGTTTTATTGTTTTTGAAAACTCCTGTTTATTGATGTAAAAGTGAATCCAATTATATTAAAGCTATAGGAAACAAGAATGGCCTTTAGTGAAATTTGTAGAATTTGTTTATGCGTTAATGTTCGCATGTTTGTTCTAAAGAAGACTAGTCTCCGAAATTTGTACAAAACATTGACGAACAGTTTTGTAAGTTTGTTATTATTTCTTAATAATGAAAATTAAAGGTGCGGTAATTTGTTGTTATCGCCGGAGAAATACCGTATAACTTGCCTGATATAAAATGCGATAGATCGGGGCTAGGCCAAGGTGCAGCGTTAAATATAGTGCAACCAGATTCTGAAAAACAACAATTAGCCTGAAATCCTACTACGTACTAGAAGAGACACCGACACTTAGTTGTTTGAAACACGCGTTAGAGCGCGTGAGCTCAAACTCACTGAGTGAGCCATAAAAAGGTACCTTGTGCCTCCTTCCACGCGACCCGCACTGCTGCATAGATATTTTCACGGTGTCTGTTCTAGTACATATTACTGAGTATTATTGCTATTGTATGTCAAGAAATTAACATCCACCCTGGTCTGGTCTTTCACCCACTTAAAGCCCTTCTATTGGACTATTAAAGTGGGAGATTAGAGTGCACATGTGCTTACAGACACAGAAATTCCTTCACTCTCATATTTCTCATATCAGAAATCAGAGAAGGTGATAACATGCACATGTGCTTGAGGTGATAAAGAGCCACAATTTTTTTTCTTGCCAACCACAAATTAGTACTTGCATAAATAAAGTTTTTGATTAAAAACTAATCTATTTATTCGTAAGAAAAATATATATTTATTTAAATATAAATAGTCTTTTTCACAATAAACTATTATAACTGTCTCATTATTAGATATATATATCGCACCCTTAGAATTATAGAGACTCAACAAGGAAACGCAAATTTTTGGTAAGCGCGGCATAAAGATTCACAAGTCTATCAATCTTGTAGAAAACAAAAGATATTCGACTGAATTTTGAAAATATTATGAAATTGTTATTTTTATATCAAACTTTAGTTATTTACCTAGATCATTTTAAATAAATTAATGAAATTAAATAAATAAAACTATAATATTTAAAACATTTTTAAATCATGGTGCATTTTAGGTTTTTATTTTAATGAAATTGGATTTTTTAAAAAGACCTTTTATGTTTTAGGTTTCTATATTTCTGAGTTTTGACTGTAAGATGCGTTACATTCACAAATAAGACACTATAATAGTTAAATTATTTAAGGTAATTTTATATTTGATACATAAAAAACAACATAAGGAATAAAATGTTTTATTAAAAATTAAACTTACAAAGAGTCTTAGCTTAAAAATCTACTTTTATTATTATTATCAATCATCACAACCATGGTAAATAATTTATCAATAAACTTTGCATAACAAAACTTAAATCTTTGATATAAATTGCCTAATAATTAGGTATAGCTTATCACAATCATTAAGGAACTTGTTTGGAACTTAATACTTAAAACTTTCACAATAACAAAAAATTACAGTATAGAGTTATAAAAATCTGCGTAATAACTAGGAATTAGGTTTTTATTAATGAGATCGCGCAAGTCTTTTTTCTTACGTTCACTTAACTCTAGTCTTTGTGAAAATGCTTTGGTCACAGTTATTTCTTCTGGACTCATCAATTTCTTACGTTTGTTCCTTATGTTAACCTTTTTGAACTCACTTTGACTGTACGAAGTTTTATAAGAGAAGATAAATGGTTCGGCTTTATTAAACTGCAAAACTTTTACATCGTTCAAAATAACATTGTTTTTATCATCATCTTCATTGAAATTATATCCCCATAGTTCTTGAAGTGCCTTTAAATTAGTGAAAAACTCGTATGTTAACTCTTTAATGGTAAAAGGTTTCCCATTCTTACGAGCATTTTTAATCAGAGTTACATATTGATAAGGTGCATAAATTGGTCCACCTTTTTTGTTTTTTTTAACTTCTTTCTCAATCAAGCTATGAACATTTTCTCCTTCGTTTTGTGTATGTCCCTTGATAAGGTATTTGTGAGTGATGGTTTCTATGTTTTCAAAATGAGTAACTGCATAAGAATATAACGTTATTATAAACTTATTTTTATTCTGTCCACAACAATTATCCGAATAAAAAGTGACATGAAGATTTTTATTCGGATTTTGTTCATTTAAGTTCATTTAAGTCTAGAATACACGATCCTATTTCATTAGCTCCCCAGTTTCCTTGCACTTCATCCCAAAAGTAGCTGTACACGTCACTGTAAGCACATGTCATTGTCATTGTTTTCTTCATTTATTTTACGTTTTTTAGGTATTTCTGATTTCTTAGCCATTAATTCTACTATAGTGAAATTTAGACAATTGAGTTTTGATTTGTAAAAGAACGAGGAAATGTCCCAATAGACACAAGAGGGTTTGAAAAGCAAGTTGAAAGAGTTGGGAGGTCCAGAAACCTCCCAACTCTTTCAACTTGCTTTTTTATAGAAGAGGAGACAAACGAGCATGCAGCTCACCTGATGGTAAGTGACTACCGCCGCCCATGAACAACCGCAACACCGGGGTAATTGCAGATACGTTGCTGGCCTTTTAGAAAGGTGTAAGCTCTTTTCTTGAAGGTCCCTAAGTCGCATCGGTCCGGAAAAATCGTTGGTGGTAAAGAATTCCACAGAGAAGTTGTACGAAGAAGAAAACTCCTAGTAAAACGCACAGTCATGGACCGCCAAGCATCCATATGGCGAGGATGGTATCGTGAATCTTGAGGCGATCTGCGTTCGTGCAATTTGGCGGCTGGAATTAATCCAAACAATTCCTCAGAATACTCCCCGTGGTAAATTCGATAGAAAATGCAAAGGGATACAACATCCCTACGCAGTGCCAGTGTATCGAGCCGATCAGAAAGAACTCGGTCGTTGACGATTCGAACCACTCTGCGCTTGATTCGGTCAAGTGGAAGGAGCTGGCACTAGGGTACCCCGGCCCAGAGATGAGAACAATATTCCATGTGAGGCCGAACTTGCGCTTTTTAAAGTCGCAAGCGATGTGCCGGCATGAAATACTGTCTCGCTCTGCTGAGCACGACAAGCTTTTTAGAGGCCAATTTGGCCTTCCATTCCAAGTGACCATGAAACTGCACACTATTCGATATGTTGACGCCGAGGATTCCGATGCTAGCTGAGGCAGCAAGGGGAGTGCCTTGAAACTGAGGAGATACGACGAAAGGGTTCTTTTTGACCGTAAACGCGCAAATTTGTGTGTTCTGACGATTGAACTGGACTAGATTTAGTCGCCCCTAATCCGAGACTTTGTTCAGCAAAGCCTCGACTTCAGACACAAGTTTATCCCGGTACTCGGCGACGTTTTCTCGAAAAATATTGGCACGGCCGGTATATAAGACATCACCAGTGCTGTCGTCTACATAGCAATGAATGTTACCAGTTTCAACTCTGTTAATTTTCAACTCCACAAAGCTTTACTTTTGTTAAGCTGAAAACGTATAAAAAGGGTTATTATAGTATAAATGAATACATGGTTGATAATAACCCCTGGGAATGAGGTGATCCCTTCCAAGCTGTTTCTAAAATAAATTTTGTAAATAGTTTGTAATCAATTATATTGTCAAATTTATTTAAAAAAAAGTCCCGCTGGGTTTCTTGCTGGTTCTTCCCAGGACAGAGGGTTTTTTTCGAACCAGTGGTAAAGTAAAAAATGACTTTCAATAAGAATTGCACATGTAATGTATATTGAATAAAAAATTATTCTATTCTATTCTATTTTTCAAATCAATTAATTGCATTTCTAGAGATCCAATATCAACTCCAAATGGCTCAGTGTGGATCGTTTTTTTTTTTATAAAATAAATAATATTTGCATATGAAGCTAAAGAGCCGCAGCTTCACATCCAAAGAGCCGCATGTGGCTCGCGAGCCACAGGTTGTCGACCCCTGGCCTAGGGGCCAAAAAGTCAAAATGTCTTCTAAACACAGCACTATTTGGTCTTGGAACAGGAGATCGTTCCATCTTTTTTTTAAGTTTTAGTTTGGGGACAGTGACACAATGATATCTCCTTAAACTGAAAAAGAAATATTTTGCAAACAGATGACACTTTCTCTCTGTCATATACAGATACTGTTAATTGGTGAAATGTTAGACGAAAGATTACTTTTAAGATACTTAGCTCTTTGAGCGTTTAACCTTAATTACGCAACTTTTAGTGGCACCGCCCCAAGAACAAATGCAGTAATTAAAGACACACTCTCCCAGTGCTTTGCATGTTTTAATGAGTAGTTTGTGATTGGTCACTGTCCGTAAACTTTTAAATATATAAATGAATATTCTTAGTTTATTAGCCACTGCATCAGTATGGGCCTCCCAAGTTAATTTATGTCAATGATTACACCTAGATATCTGATCAAATCTGTTTTGACTAAATTACTACATTGACATAGTGTTAAGTTTACAGTGCGATTGCAAGGTTACCTGTGGATAGTAATTACAGTTTCTAGTTGGAAGAGAAGCATTAGTCTTACCGAAACATAGGTAACATTAAGGGATATTAAATTATCTTCAAGCCAACTAGTCACTAATCTAAGACCGTTTTCTGTGAGTTGAGCTATTTTACCCCAAGGGTCGCCATGAAAAATCAATACAGGATCGTCAGCAAAAATAGTTAAATCGGCATTTTTTATATTGATTTTACACAATTCATTAACATAAAGAAGAAAGAGCGAAGGACCTAAGAAACTCCCCTGTGGTACACCATAAGAGCAAAAGGAAGTGCTGATTTATTTGTAAATTCTGACTCCATGGCATCTATCTGATAGATAGTCCCTAAACCAGTTATAGACAACACCTCTTATACCCAACTTTTCCTATCGGTTGAGTGGTATGGGAATCGAAACTGTATCACAGGCTAAAAATAACAGGCTGTGAAGCATTACATCTCAGTCCTCAGAGGTAACATCGCATCTGTAGCCTTTTGCTTGAAGTTTGTTGCAGGTGCCTATGGGCTGCAGCAGCTACTTACCATCAGTTGGATTGTAAGTTTTTTTGTCACTTCAATGTTATAAAAAATGATGTTGATGAAAAGAATTGTGGTAGCCAACAGATTTTATTATAAACTTGTATATTTAAGTAGTTTTCCAAATTAATGACGAACTTTCATATTTTCAGATGGATGAGGATGAGGAGCCCATAATTGTCTGTTTCACCTGTCATGCCAGACTCATTCGTTGCAGAACATTACAACAACAGGCTGTTGAGTCAAAAGCAGTTCTGGAGCAGTTGCTTGCAGGAGGGTCCATGGTATTATCAGTTCCACCCATTAAAACCTATAAAAGTGCCTCATAGATTGCTTCATATAGGAGGCGTTTTGCCAAATTTGCCACACTTGGCAGGTTGGCAACCGCAGTTTTTATTAGTCCGAGTGTTATCAGGAAGATGCTGCCGCCCAACTCCTGTTTCTGTTTCCCTCTGCCGCCTCTTACGACGCCCGTACAGTGTATAGCGGGTAGAAGGAAAAGGGGAGTTCTATCGCCGGGCAAGGTGCTCTGCCCGAGGAGCGGCCAACGCTCCAATTGATAGTTTGGAGCTATTCTATATATGCTGCTTTAACTTCGGAACTTTGTTAGTGCGATTTAGGCTTCGATGTGTTTTCGCTTGTGGCGCGACGACAGCGCCGCCACATCACCCCCCTGCTCAGACCGGAGGTCGATAGTGCAGTCTAGATGTCGACGAATTTGCAAGTGCCAGGGAATTGCCTTGGAAGTCTGCGGTGAGTCGAGAAGAAGGCAAGTAATCTGCGAGAGTGCCGTGAAGCAGAGGCGAGCAGTAAGGCTCAGAACCGTGCCAAACACTGTAGCGCACAGAGTAGCTTGAAGGAACAGGAAGCATTATTATTCCAGTGCTGCGATGAACCTTTGTAAAGCTAGATGGCTTGCAGGATGTGAAGACTGCAGACAGTATCTGCCCGGGAGCGAATGAATGTGGTACTTGAGAATGATGAAGAATTGAAGTTGTAGTTTCCGAAGGTTATTGGTTGCGTGTTCATACCACGTCGGGGTCACCAGTGTAGTCGGTGGAAGGAAAAGGAGAGATCTTCCGCCGGTCAAGGTGTTCTGCCCGGGGAGCGGCCAACGCTCCGTTTGATAGTTCGGAGCTATTCTATATATGCTGCTTTAACTTCGGAACTTTGTTAGTGCGATTTAGGCTTCGATGTGTTTTCGCTTGTTATCTTCACCCACAATCCCTGACGGGGTAGCCGATAACAGATCGCCAAGTGTCACGATCCTTACATAAGTAAATAATTAAATAATGCTATATCTAAATTAGTAAATTGGTTCAATGTTAATAATTTGCATTTAAATGGCACTAAAACGAAATGTATGAAATTTATGACTTCAAATGTCAAACAATTAAATACTAATGTAATTTTAAATGGCGAGAAACTGAGTCTTGTAGATACCACCATTTTTCTTGGAATCACACTAGACGCGAAGCTTCAATGGAGCCCCCATATATCAAAACTAGCAAGCAGATTTAGTTCTGCAGCATATGCTGTAAAAAAGATTAGAAGTCTAACTAGTGTTGAAACAGCTAGACTAGTTTACTTTAGCTATTTCCATAGCATAATGTCGTATGGTATTTTGCTATGGGGATACGCAGCTGACACTGAAATTATATTTGTTTTACAGAAGAGGGCCATAAGAGTAATTTATGATTTAAAGCCTAAAGAGTCGCTGCGACAAAAATTTAAGAAAATTAATATATTAACTTTGGCCTCTCAATACATTTATGAAAATGTAATGTACGTACACAAAAATAAAAGTAGTTTTACAAAAATAAGTGATATTCCTTCTGTAAATACTAGGAACAGACACAAGCTAGTAGTACCAGTTACTCGACTCCATCGAGTCAGTAATTCATTCTTGGGGCGATGTATACACTTTTACAACAAAATTCCAGAAAATATACAAAATTTGACCTGCTCAAAGTTCAAAAACTTTATTAAACTAAGTTTGTATAAAAAGGGTTATTATAGTATTAAAGAATTTATAGATGATAATAACCCCTGGAAATGAGGTGATCGCTACCAAGCTATTTCTAATTTGTTGTGTTGTTAATTTGTGTAACATACATGATTATAAGCTGTTATATAAAATAAAAAAAAGTCCCGCTGGATTTCTTGCTGGTTCTTCCCAGGACAGAGGTTTTTTTTCGAACCAGTGGTAATTATACAAAAGAGTGACTTCCAATAAAACAGTTTCTGTTTCAATGGGATACTTCAATGCAAAACACAAGAGAGAACGTTGAGCTGAAAGTAGGGAAATTTGGAATAGGGCAACGGAACCCAAGGGGCCAGCAGCTGGCCGACTTCATGGGGAAAGAGGGACTCTTTATGATGAACTCTTTCTTCCAGAAGCGGCCCCACAGGAAGTGGACCTGGTCGAGCCCCGACGGTTCGACAAAAAATGAGATTCACTTCACTATGACGACCAGACGACAACTTTTCAGTGATGTCTCCGTGATCGCGAGGGTGAAAACTGGTAGCGATCACCGAATGGTTAGAGGCACACTGAACCTAAACGTTAAGTTGGAGAGGTCTCGTCTAATGAAGTCAACGCTCCGTCCCCCTCGTGCTCTGTTCCAAAGTCCCGAAACCTTGCAGCTCGAGTTACAAAACCGTTTTCAGTGCCTAGAAGACTGCAATGAAGTGGACGATATGAATGACAAGCTCGTGGAAACTGTCCATGCGGTCGGAGCTAAGTTCTGCAAGACCCGCCGCAGACGAACACAAAAACTCTCCGACCACACTCTCAATCTCATGGCTGTTACACGTGAGATGAAGCTGACAGATCTCCAAATGCATGCGGCGGGACTTACGCAACTTCAATACAGCTTGTATTGAAGAAGCGATCGAGCGGAACTAAGGCTCCAAAGTCTTTGCCAGAGATCTGTCTGCCAGAAAGAGCTAACTGTCAAAGCTGAAGACCGAATGTGGCGGCGTCGCTTCCGGGGCACCTGAGATTGAGAGGTTCTATGGGCAGCTGTACACGTCATCGTTGGAGCCACACGCAAATGTGAGTAACGATCCAAGAGCGAGTCTCATCCGACACTATTCCGAAGATATCCCGGACGTCAGTCTGAGCGAGATTAGAATGGCTCTCCAGCACCTTAAAAACGGCAAGGCCCCAGGCGAGGATGGAATTACAGCGGAGTTTTTGAAAGCGGGTGGATGACCGGTACTTGAAGTCCTTCAGAAGCCCTTTAATTCCGTCCTCCATGGTGGCGTTTTCCCTACCGTGCGTACGTTTTACCTACAGACCGTTTTCCCTTCTGAGCCGCGTCTATGTGCTGTTTTCGAGAGTCATTAACAAATGTTCCGCGCGCAGACTTGACGACTTCCAGCCTCCCGAACAAGCCGGTTTCCGAAAGGGCTTTAGCACCATAGACCACATACATACCCTTCGGCAAATTGTACAGAAGTCCGAGGAGTTCAATTTGCTACTATATCTGACGTATGTGGACTATGAGAAAGCCTTTGATTCCGTCGAAATTTGGGCAGTGTTGCAGTCCCTTCAGCGGTGTCAAATTGACTGTCGGTATATCGAAGTGCTGAAGTGTTTGTACAGTAGAGCTACAATGGCTATCCGAGTACAGAATCAGAGTACGAAACCTATCCAATTGCAGAGAGGTGTAAGACAGGGTGAGGTTATGTCTCCGAAACTCTTCACCGCTGCATTGGAAGACGTTTTCAAGGTTCTGGACTGGAAAGGATACGGTATTAACATCAATGGCGAGTACATCACTCACTTTCGATTTGCCGACAATATAGTCCTTATGGCAGAATCGCTGGAGGACCTAAGCACCTCAATGACCTCAATAGTGTCTCCCAACGAATAGAATAGAATAGAATATTTTATATTCAATATACATTACATGTGTAATTCTTATTGAAAGTAATTTTTTACTTTACCCCTGGTTCGAAAAAAACCCTCTGTCCTGGGAAGAACCAGCAAGAAACCCAGCGGGACTTTTTTTTAAAATAAATTTTACAATATAAATGATTACGAACTATTTACAAAATTTATTTTAGAAACTGCTTGGAAGCGACCACATCATTCCCAGGGGTTATTATCAACCATGTATTCATTTATACTATAATAACCCTTTTTATACAGTTTCAGCTTAATAAAACATTTAAACTTGGTAATAGAGAGAACCTGTACACTTTCCGGGACCTTGTTGTCATAGCGTATACATTGCCCCAAGAATGAATTACTGACTCTGTGGAGTCGAGAAACTGGCATCACTAGCTTGTGTTTGTTCCTAGTGTTTACAGAATGTATATCACTTTTTTACTAAAAGTATCTTTGTTTTTGTGAACATACATTAAATTTTCGTAAATATACTGAGAGGCCAAAGTTAATATATTAATTTCTTTAAATTTATCTCTAAGAGACTCTCGGTTTTAGATTGTAAATAGCTCTAATGGCCCTCTTCTGTAAAACAAAAATAGTTTCTGAATCAGCCGCATTTCCCCATAGCAAAATCCCATAAGACATTATGCTATGGAAATAACTAAAATAAACTAATCTAGCTGTCTCGACACTAGTGAGACCTCTAATCTTTTTTACAGCATAGGCATTTTACAGAATAAGTCTTGGGATGAACATGGATAAAACAAAGATCATGTTTAATGTCCATGTCACACATATGCCGATAGTTGTTGGGAGCACTAAGCTCGAAGTTGTTGACGAGTATGTTTACCTGAGACAAATAGTCCGACTAGGTAAGTCCAACTTCGACCGAGAGGTCAATCGACGGATTCAACTCGGTTGGGCAGCGTTCGGGAAATTACGGCACATCTTCTCGTTAGACATACCTCAAAACCTTAAAACGAAATTGTACAACCAGTGCATGTCACCAGTGATGACTTACGGATCTGAGACGTAGCCCTTCACTGCTGGCCGTATGAGGAAGCTCAAGGTCGCTCAGCGAACTATGGAGAGGGCTGTGCTTGGGGTGTCTCTGCATGATAAACTTAGAAATGAGTATATCCGCAGTAGAACCAGAGTAACCGACATGGCCCAACGGATTAGTAAGCTGAAGTGGCAGTGGGCCGGCCATATAGCTCGAAGAACCGACAACCGATGGGGAAGAAAGGTACTTGAGTGGCAGCCTCGTACCAGTAGGCGAAGTGTAGGGCGACCCCCCACGAGATGGAGTGACGACCTGGTAAGACATGCAAGAAGTCGATGGATGCAGATGGCTCAGGACCGTGCTTTGTGGCATTCCTTGGGGGAGGCCTATGTTCAGCAGTGGACTTGTGAAGGGCTGTAATGATGATGACTAATTGGGGTGCCTGAGGATGTGCGTTAATTACGTTAGATGTTATATAAACGAAATATTATCTATATGTAATATTACTCGGTAAACAAAGATAGATCTTTGTCAATTTGCGGCATTCGTGAATCTGTTTCGAAAAATTTTTGAGACTCGATACTCGAGATAGATGAACTTCATATCTACATTCTTATGTAACTTTATTCAAAACCCTCAGTTTGTCCAGTTTCTATTATTATTTGGAGTTATTGTCAGGAAGATGCTGCTGCCCATCTCTTGTTTCAGTTTCCCTCTGTTCCTTTTTACGACATTGTAGGATGGTATGGTAGTATGGATTCTCCTACGGCACCACTACACTGTCTTTTTCTCTTATGTAATTAAAGAATTTCGTTTCAGTCAATACCAAAACCGCATGAGGCTAGAGATAAGATTCAATTCACACCAATTAGTCATATAGATATCAGGCCAGTAGAGTGTGATGTAGACAATGATTGTAAGGACGATATGTTTAGCCTTGAATCTGTTAAAGTTGAGGAAGAGAATTTCGAAAATGAGAATTCCAAATTTGAAGAAAATGTGAATCATGAAATAGGTAAGATATACACATTTTGTGATATTAATAAAATAAGGTACAAGTTACCTAATGGCAAGTGGTTACTGTAGCCCATGGACAAAATAATATTATAGTGACATATTGGCGCGGATTAGGCCGTGTGTTCCAGACGGGTACCAATTTACTCGACAAGGCGCCTTTAACACAAACGTTACGCGTTCTTAATAGAATGGCTGAAGACATTGAGCTATTCTGTTGCACCTTGAGTGAATTCACTAGGGTAGGATTGTTTACAATTTGTTACAGTTAATGACCACATTTTGCTATGCTTGAGAAGAATTACACTGTCGTATTAGGTTATTCCTGTCATGATAGTTGTTAGTTTAAATAAATAAATAATTGTCAATGTAAAATTATGAGCATCTTTAGACATTTTTTTTTTACTTATTAATTAATATATTTAAAAAATATTTTGACCCTGTATAAATGTAGCCAGTATGTATGTCACTAGGATGGATTAATTTAATACGACGACTTAATGATATGCTTACAACTGGTAAGCAACCTGCCTGCCAATTTCTATAGGAATGCCACAAAGCACGGGCCTTAGCCACCCAAAATAACCCTCAACAGCCTTCATCACTTCGCTATCGTCTGCAAATTTCTTGCCTCGAAGGTGTTCCTTGAGCTGAGGAAATAGAAGTCACTGGAAGCTAGATCTGGCGAATAGGGCGGGTGTTCGAACAGTTCAAGTCCCGTTTCTTAAATGGCAGCCGTCGCAACAGCGGCTTTGTGAGCCGGAGCATTATCTTGGTGAAACAGCACTCCAGCTCGCAATTTGCCGCGTCTTTTTCTTTAATAGCCTCCTGCAATCTTCTTATTTGGCCTGCGTAGTCGAGAGTATAAGCCCGAAATGGCTCCCTTTTTCAAATATTCCACCATAATTATTACATCAGCGTCCCAAAAACGGACGCCATAACTTTTCCCGTCAAACTTGACACTTTGTATTTCTTTGGCGACGGGAGGAGGCTCGGTTCCAAGCCATTGATTGTTGTTTGATTTCAGGATCGAAGTGGTAGATCCAGGACTCACACATGGTTACGAAACGTAATAAAAAAATCTGGTATCTCCTTGGAACCTTTCGAAATTCACAGTCGAAATGTCGACTAATTTTTTCTTTTGCTCGTCGGTTAACATTTTTTTTTTTTATAAGATAAGGGTGACAAACGAGCACACAGTCCACCTGATGGTAAGTGGTT